TAGAGACTTGGCTTCCAAAGTGCATAAAAGTCAAAATATGGAGGTATGAAGGTTGACTTTTAGATTGATGAGTTTTTTGAAGAAAGTAATGGTGGGAACAGTTTCAAATGGCCATTTTAAGGGTGTGTATGTGGTCTTTGAAGTGTTTTGGTGTTTGGAACAAGAAATAGCATGAAAAGTGGAAAATGGTGATTTTTGTGATTTTGAGAACTTAAGCACTTCCGAGCAAGGAAAGGAATGAGAGAGCTATGAGTTTCTATGTATTCTTTATAGCTCTGGTGTGGTGTATAACATATATAAGGCCTCTATTTATAGGGAAAATGAAGGTGAGGGAAGATTTGGATTTTGGCTTCTTGGAGGGAAATTTTGGAGAAATCTTGCCAAAATCTTGTGGCAGCTCTATACATCAGTCTCTTGGCTCAAGGCAAGCAATAAAATCAAGTGGAATGATGTACATGAGGTGACGACATAGAGCTTAGAGTGTTGAGGTTACAGCTGCTACAGTCTTGGAGAAAAATTTTCTCTTTCCTCTTTCACATTTCTTGATTATTATATTACCACTTGTTTGCAACTTGTTCCTCTCTCTTCACATCTTTTACTTTTTCTGCATTTTTTACTCATCCACACCTCTAATTATCATATTGAACATGATCCAATGGCTGAGGGTGGTCCAAGTTGTTGAAATTTGAATTTTGGAAAAAGTTGAAGTGGTGACTTCAAGTGTGGCAGCCCCAACTTCCATGATCCATAACTCTCAGCTCACAAATGCTATTGAGGAGTTCTACCACGTTTTAGAAAGCCCTCAAGTAGATCTACAACTTTCATGCTTTTGAGGTTTTCAAATTCCCACTGAAACTAGGTCAAAAGACCTCTCAAAGTTGCTGAAAAAACATACTTAAAAGGCCAAATAACTTAGAATTTTTCTAAGTTATTTCCCTTCTTGAAATGAATTTGGTCATAACTCCAAATCTATGCATTTTCTGATCATGGAATACTTTGGGACTTTTGTAGGACTTATCAAGAGCTTTCCAATGAGCTTTGAACCAACTCAGTTGGATGTGTGTTTGAGGAGTTATGGTCTTGCCCCTTTCAAAACCCTAATTCCCGATTTTTGCAATTACTCCTCAACCCTTGATCCAATGGTCATGAAATTTTATGGGAAGGTTTAATATGACATAAGGAACATTTTTAATTCACATCTTGAAGTCAAATTCCCTAGGGTTGAAGAGTTGACTTTTCGGTCAACCGTACGATCAATCGGTGACTACCGGGTCGACTGTTGATGTTCCGGGTATTTTAAGGCCTTGAAATTTCTTGAGTAGACTTTACTAAGCCATAGGAACTTCATGGACCATGATCCCACCATTGGAACACCTTTTAAATCAAAAGTCAAACTATAGTTGACTTTTCCTGATCGAAAACCCTAATCGGGTATCCTGAACTGCACTGTTCTCAATTCCTGGGTGACAACCTCAAATTGGATTCATACTTGACCCAATACAGTATCCTTAATCTTGTTTATAGTTGAATCAATCCAACACATTGATTGATCAAACCATCGAAGCCTCGATTTTTGACGGTACAGAACCGTGATTCATTTGCATCTTGACAAAGATAAACTTGAAATGGGTTAAGGTTAGTTAATCAAATGAATATGATCCTAAAATGATGAGGAGGATCTAAGGGGTCAAAATTTGGGGTGCAACACTCACGAGCCGACAGTTGTCGAGTCGGCCGTCCCTCACCGTATCGTCGATAAATTCTTCCATCTCGTCCTAGAATACGAGCCACTAAAAAAATTATATAAAAAAAAAAACATAATCCATCAAACCAGAAAACTACAAGGCAGGATTTCTGGAACATCAAACAACAAAATTGAATAACATGTGGATAAGTTATCCGGTGAAGAAAATAGAAGAACCGGATAACTAAACCACAAGTTATCGGTGTGCAGAAAATTCAAACCGGATAACTTCACCACAAGTTATATGGAAAATAAACTTAAAAAAGGTAAACCGGAATACTTATTATTAAGTTCTCTAGAGTGCAAAACGTGAACCGGAAATCTTGTGTTTGAGTTCTCTGAAAGTCAAAAAATTTCAGACTTTTCACGCTCTAGTTGGAAGGAAATGAGGAAAAAGCTGAAAATTTTGAATTGTTAGGTATTTATACAACGGTATTTTTGTCCAATTTTTTATGTAGTATGGATATAGGATTAAATTTAAGAGTATGAGATAAAATTTTCTGAATTTTTGAGTCTGGCAGAACAACTTATATGGACTAATCTATTTTAACAGCTATAATCAAATGATCAAATGGATTTCATAATCTAAGAAGTAGAAATGGCTATAATCAAAAGATCAAATGGATCTCATAATCTAGGAAGTAGAAATGCGTATAATCAAATGATCAAATGGATCTCATAATCTAGGAAGTAGAAATGCGTTTGACATTCACAAAAAACTATTTCAATCTTAGCTGCCCATTCTTTTCATATTGTACAAAATAACTACTCTGTCCATTACATGTTATAAATATTTTCTACAAATTTCAAAAACATTCAAAAGTAATTATAACAATTAATTTATAAAAATAAGTGTTTTTTTAAAAATAAATAAATTGAGCCATACGTTTTAACACTGCATAAAAAAATGAGTGTTACTTTTATAATTAACGATTAAAAAACAAATTTGTATATACTACAAAAGTGCAAGGTTCTGAATTCTTCGAACATAGAGAGAGTAATTGAGGTGTGGTGAAGAATTTGTTGAAATGAGGACCTACCTACCCACTACCACCTTCCTTAAACATTCATCACCAAACCCTTTTAATCTCTTTCTCTATACATTGTTATTGTGGACCTATCACTGCTTCAATTTCAACTACCCAAGATTTGTTCTGTGCACAAATTATTCTCATATCAATATATTCAATTTCTTTTACACAAAAGATTCTTTAGATTTGGGTCTTTGTATCTAGACTTGTTGTATCTTTTTCATTAATTTGTCCCCCATTATTCTTGCCATTTTTGTTAACCTCATTTTCCAGGTGTCACAAAACCTGATATCAGGTTTTGGTGCCCCACATTTCTTAACCTTCCTATGAACTCTTTCCCACAATGACTCAACCTTTCATTGAATGACATTTGTTTAGTGCTTATCCTATTGTTTTCTTTCCTTTTAGTTTTGACAACCAACCTGTAAAATGAGGGAGATCAGTTTTTCAAAGATTTAATTTGATTCTTTTCTTTTTTTATTTAAAGGCAGCCATAATATTAAGACTTTTTATGTCAGTTGCGATAATATAGATTGGATTGAGTTTCTCTTAAAGTTTTACATCGAGTAAAAATAGAAGAATCATTGGATATATATAGGTACGAGTCACTCATATTATTAAGTTTAATTTACACTATGACTAACTTCTGTTATTCCATCTATTCCATCTATTTTAACCATAGCTCTAATGTCACTTGTAAAAAAATCCGAAATTGAAGCATCAAAAGTGTTAATGAACGAAAAGTTCACGATAAAAATATATGATCTCAATGTATATTTATTAGTGAAGGTAATCCTTTATTAAAAAATTATTTTTTAGAGTTGAATTAGACCAAATTAGAGCTGACAATAAACTGAATTCAGTCGAAAATAGTTCGGAACTCGATTTGTCAATTAAATCGTTAAACCAGATTCATGAACTAAATGAGTTGAATATGAACAAAAAAACTAACTTTTTTTAACTAAATGAGCTAAACTTGAACTATACATAGTTCGACTCGTTACGTTCATGAGTCAACTCGATTACATATGTGAAGAATTATATTGTCTTTAAGATTAAATTTAAAGATTTACTCCAAATCTTAATCCTAAATAACATGTGTAATGAAGGTTGCAAGTGGTGTAATGTAATCATTCTGTGATGGAAATGTATCAATTTTTAATAATTTTTTGTGTACTATTTCATTAAAATTGTATGTTTCATAAATATTTAGACGAAGTTGTGGATTTTTGAGACAAATTTAAATTTCAATTGAGTAGTTTTTTAATTAGACTTTCAATTGTATTCCTTGAAAATGGTGTTGTTTTTGAATTAGTAGATTTTTGAGATAAAGTTAAAATTTAATCGGATAACTTTTATTTTATTTTAACATTTTCTTTTTTAAAAAATATTAATTTAAAATGTCAAATATATATATATATATATATATATATATATATATATATATATATATATATATATATATATATATATATATATATATATATATATATATATATATATATATATATATATATATATATATATATATATATATATATATATATAAACAACAGACTTAAAAAAATGGTTTTTAAGTCCGTGAACCAAGTGAGTTGAACTTAATGAGATGAACCTAACAAGTTGAACCGAACTATTCGTGAACTTATAACGAGTCGAGTTTGAGTTTAAAAAGAACTTCGTGTCAAATTCGAATCGAGATTTGAGCTGAACCAATTCTTAACGAGTCGAGTCGAGCTGAGGCGAGTTCGACTCGACTCGACTCATTTTCAACCCTAGACCAAATGATACTTCAAAAGATGGTATTTCATGCTTTCAAGTCCTGGTAATTTCCACTCGAATTCCTAGGTTCGTTTGTCAACCTTATTAATTCTGTTCAAACCTATGCCATAAGACCCACCATTGTGGGGTCTCTTTGAAACAATTATAAAAATTACATTTTCCAAAAGGTGTTTGTTTGAAGAAACCAAATTTGCTTCACAAATTTTTCTACTTAATGATGTTTCATTTTGATTATCTTAAATAACAAATAAAGTGAATCCCTTAACTTCCAAATTAGGCCTTGGAGGCTTTCTTATCTCATATACCAAATTCAAGTTTGACCCGTAAAAGATTTCCTACCTATTTTATTCTTACTTTACTTCATAACAATAACTTGCCTCTCCTTTTTCTTGTTTTTAAACTAACTTTCCTTCACCAAGTTTTGTTGTAATATTCATACAAGGATGTCTCTAGTGAAGAAGAATCTGAGTTCGGTTGAGAATGTTGAAGAGAGTAAGGAGGAGTTATCATTGTTGGACTTGCCTGAACTGACCTTAGAATGCATACTTGAAAAGCTGCCTCCTTCATCACTCTATCAAATGGCTGGTGTTTGCCATTCCTTGAGAGACAAGTGTGTGAGTGATTACTTTTGGGAGAGGCACATGAAGAAAAAATGGGGTGGAGTTATTGGTCATGCTGCTTATAGGGAATGGAAATGGTATGTTGCTTCGAAAAGGGATGTTAAGGATATTAAACATGCCACACAAAGAGGCTTCTTGATGAGTTACTTCTCTATTCTTTGGCCTTTTCAATGGATGAAATTAAAGGTTGATGATGTAATTGATAGCTGCAAGATGCGGAGTTCATTGGTTGTTGATTCTGTTATGAATTGCTATCTTGCTATTGAGACCGGCAGCTTCTGGTTCCCTGCTCAAGTCTATAACCGTGAGGTATGAATGAAAACCCTTTGATCTTTTTATAAAGAAATAATTTTTTGACATCAAATTCGACAACAAAGTTCAAATATGTGGTTAACATAAATTGATGTTTGTGTTGTAGAACGGTCATGTTGGATTCATGTTGTCTTGCTATGATGCTAAAGTTAGCTATGATTCGCAAACTGATACCTTTCAAGCAAAGTAAGTTTGATATGATTTTTTTTTTGAAGTAGTTTAACGACTATAATTCACCTTATGAACAAGTGGGATCTCACGAATTTGAACCCGCCCCTACATTTGATGTCCCTATACAGGTGTCAATTGAGTTGCCATACGGGACAGTTTGACATAGGGGGATCATATACTTACCTATATCAATTCGTTGAGTCTATTATTGTTGTTATATACGTTCACATTGGTTATAGATTTGAATACCAAACAGTTTTGAAGAATTTTTAAATGAACATATAGGAATTGATTGATTGGTTATCATAGGTATCCTGCACATGGAAGAAGAGGAGATGCTAGAGAGTGTGGCATTCCATGGAAAAGATTAAGAGCGCCACCTGTGGATACTTGTTCACATGATCTTCATATCTCTGATTGTTTAAATGATTTGTATCCTGGTGATCACATAGAGATTCAGTGGAGGAAAAACAAAGAATATCCTTATGGTTTGTTCCTTTTTTCCATATAATATTGATAGATTCTTCTAAACTTAATCTCTAATACCATGTTGGTTAATACCTTATATTAGTAAGTAGTAAAGCTTTGATATTTGATGGCAGGTTGGTGGTATGGTGTTGTAGGTCACTTGGAGTCATGTGATGGGAATAAAAACTATTGCCACTGTCATATTAGCGGTAAGTTAATCAATGTTAATTTCTCGTGAATGATTAGCAGATGAATTAGAGGCTTTGTGTTCAAATTCAGTCCTAGACAAATAACAGTGTTAAATCTCTTGAGGGAAGTTTAATTTCTACAGTTGTGCATAGAAGATATCCAATTTTTTTTAAGATTCAATCATAGGTTATATGATGATAAATGTGATGAATGCAGAGACAGTGGTGCTAGAGTTCAACCATTACACTCCTGGCTCAAGATGGAGACAGACTAGTATCAATAGGAAAGATCATAGAGAGGAAGGAAATGAGGTTGATGGATTTTATGGGGGAATAAGAAAGATTGAGAGTGAGAAAGAAATTTCCATTTGGAAACTAATGTGGCCATCTGATGTCTTGAATTAGTACTTTGTTTTATGAGCATTGACATGTTCTGTTTTGTACAAGGAAATATTAAACTCGAAGGAATTATCATATCATAAAGTATTTATATCTTTATGGTTTCCATCAATGTAAATTACTCCACATTTATACACAAAATGTACAACATATATTTGTTCAACTACATATAGAATATAGAAAGTGAAATGTTTTAGCTACTTCTTTTACATTAATATGACATGTGAATCACGGATATGCAAAACATCACAATTTTTTAAATGACTAATTAATTCAACCATTTATTTTAAATAATTCTGTTAATCAAATTGAATTTTAAAAATCAAATTTTAATCTTTTTTATACTGTTCCATTAAAATAATAATAAAATTGAAAATTTTAAAAAAATTTCATTCAATCAATTCATAAAAAAAATTCATCCAATTCATCCACCATATAAAAATAAGTTAATTGATTGAATTAAATCCAATCATTTATATACATGGATTGATTCAATTCATCCAACATATTTCAAGAATTTAATGGATTATTTTTATTTCTGTTTTATTTTTTAAAAAATAATTAAAATGGATTATTTAAGAAAAGAATTGATTTTTTCCAAAAAAAAAAATTGATTTTTTAAAAAAATTAAAATATCAACTTCTTAGAAAATACAAAAAGTCGAATTTTCTCAAATAACAAATTTTTTTTCAAAAAATATGATTTTTTCCGACAAAAGAGTCGTTTTTTTCAAAAATTAAAAAATTAAAATTTTAGAAAACAGAAAAGTTGATTTTTCCTGAAAAAATTATTTTTTTTTAAAATATAAAAAATTGATTTTTTTTTCAAAAAATACAATTTTTTTTTTGAAAATACAAATAATGGTTTTTTTCTAAAACACAAAATTTAATTTTTTTATGAATATATTAAAAAATAATTTTTTTAAAATACAAAAAATGAATTTTTTGAAAATAAAACAAAATTGATTTTTTAAAAAATAAAAAAAAATTAGATGAATATTCATCCATTAAAAATATGTCAATTGATAAATTGAATGAATTTTATTCTTAACGGATGAATTATATTGGATAATTTTAAAAAAAAATTAATGGATTATTAGTGAACTACATTAACAATTTAATCTATATCCATTCAATCTATCTATCTATTTTTGCCACTTCTAATTTTCATGAGTAATTTCTTAACCCACTTTTTTTTCATTCGGGCGGGTTACTTGCTGTGACTCTGTTTTATATTATGTGTTTGATGGGAAAACAATACTCTCTATACAATTACTATTTTCACTAATTCAACAGTGGCTTTATATTCCTACAAAAATACTGGTTAAAAAATGTTTACTAGTTTTTTTTAAACATCAATGTAGTTATTAATCCCAAACAATTTCTTGCACCATTTCAACCATCAATCGAAAGAGTATAATATTGAATTATATATATATATATATATATATATATATATATATATATATATATATATATATATATATATATATATATATATATATATATATATATATATATATATATATATATATATATAAATAGGGATTATGTGTTATTTATTTTTCCTCTTCTCTATTATAGTCATTGAATTTAATCCAATTTAATCGTTAAATAGCATTTTCACTTAATTAACCATTAGATTATATTCAATTCAAAGGTTATCATTTAGAGTGAGTTAAAAAAACTTATTCTTGGAGTAAATTTTTTTAACTTATTTCAAATCATAGTTTTTGAATTGAATTTAATCTAATAGTTCTTATTCATTCTTACATTCTTATATAACTTACTCATTCTCAATATATATATATATATATATATATATATATATATATATATATATATATATATATATATATATATATATATATATATATATATATATATATATATATATATATATATATATATATATATAACACAAGAAGTATATTGAAAAAAACCCGAAAAACAAAAAGAAGGGGACAAAAATCAAAATCCCTCAATAAGACATCAATCTAAGCTTGGAAAAACCAAGTTTGTTGTGCAAGTAATCATCCTTAGCATCGCTAACAACATAATTGTACCAAATAGCATTTTTATTCTTTAAGTCTAAACTAGCTAGAATGTCAACACAAGTGCTTCCCTCCATATATATGTGAGTTATCATGACATTGACATTACTCATTCTATGAAAGCAATTCAACCAATGGCTCTTGATAGACCAGGAGACAATATTTGTATTGTAAAGAGCTCTAGCAACAGTCAAAGAGTCGGTTTCAATCCAATGTTGTCCCAATTCTTGTCAATGCTCATCTCCATTGCCATGATCGCACCCATAAATTCCGCAATTAAAGCAATCCAAATTTTGTCCCAATTCTTGTCAATGGCCATCTCCATTTCCATGATCGCACCCATAAATTCCGCAATTAAAGCATTACCATTCCCAATAAAGTAAGAGAAAGAACCAACATGGTCACACTTAACATTTCTAAACATAACCCTACAAGCGCAAAGAGAAGGAATTCCCATCGCCACATCATTTGTGTTACCTTTTATCCAATCAATTGGAAGAAGTTTCCATAAAACATCAATGTTCCTTTTCATGGTTGAATGTCTAATTTTGATATTAAAGCTCTTAAGAATAATGAACTCAAACATGGTTATCGGACCTGAACACTTGGTAATGTGTCCGACCAAGTTCACCAAGCTAGCAATGTTTTTCGTGCACCTCTTCCAGTCTATAGCAGCATCTTTAAATCTTGCATTGTTTCTAGCAAGCCATATTTCATCTATACAAATTTGGATTCCTACCATGATTACTACTTTGCATTGCGCATACTGTCCTCTATCAATAATTATCCAACAGTCAACTAGCCTAGATTCGGTGAATTGTAAGTTAAGACTGTTTGAAAACTAGTTCCAAATTCTGAAAGAAAATCTACATTGGAATAACAAATGAGTTATGGTTTCCTCTTGATTGTGACACGTAGAGCATTGAGAAGGAAAAATGATGCCTCTTTTGTGAAGATTTTATTCAATTGGAATGGCTTTATGCATAACTCTCGAAAGGATAAGAGTTTTAGAAAAAAGGATATCGATGTTCCATGTCATCTTACTCCAGCAAATGTTGTTTCAATGACCATGATAGAAATCGTAAGTCGGCTTCAAATTAAAGAACCATTATCAGAATGCTTCCAAACTCTAGAATCCACTTTTTCCTCAAGAGGTATAGTATATTTTCTTATATGATCTATCATGTCAAGGTAAGCTAGGAGCATATTTTTAGGAAAGGACCAGCTATTGTTCATAATGTAATTAGAAACTTTCACCTGTAAATGATTATGAAAGATGGGGGGCATGTTGTACCCAGAAGCAATAGGAGGGTCACACCATTCATCAAGCCAAAAGTCAACATCCCTATCATTTTCAATAAGCCAAGAAGCATTTTGAGTGACTATTGACCATTGCCCCTTCATGCCACTCCAAATGGAAGAGGTCATGTTGTTGACAATGGTTGTACCATTTCTAAGAACTCTGGCTCCAAGGACCTACTAGCTACCAGCATCATTATTGAAGTCTTACCATTGCTTTATATTAGTAACCTTATTAAGAGTTATGATGGATTTCAAGGCAAGACCTCCTTCCTTGAATGCTTTGAAACACTTGTGCAAGCCACAATTATGAATTTTCTCTTCTCTATATCACCACTCCACAAAAAGTTTCTGAACCATTTTTCAATATCCTTGAGAAGATTGATAGGCCAGTCATAGATTTGAATGGAATGGAAGAGCATGCTATTAGCCACAGATTTATTGAGTTGTAGTCTCCTTGCCATGGATAGAAGTGAAGCCTTCCAAGTAGCAAGCTGAGTTTTTATCTTGTCAGCTATATGTTGAAAGTACTTAGTTTTAGGTCTACTTTTGAAAATTAGCACCCCAAGATAAATGAAAGGTGGATGAGATACATTATAGCCTAAGATATAGGCCAATAAGTTGTGCCTAGTCGGATTCATGGCCCCTGCATAGATGAGAGACTTGGAAGAATTGAAAATTTGCCTTGAACAAGCTTCATACTTCTTGAGAAGATTGTTTATGGCACTTATATATTTTAAAATCACATTTGCAAAAAAAACCTGTAATGTCATCAGCAAAAAGAGTATGGGAAAGAACTTGACAATTTCTTGCATCTGTTGTTGCACCCCAAATTTTGACCCCTTAGATCTTCATCATCATTCTAGGATCATTTTCACTTGATTATCTAACCATAACCTATTTCAAGTTTGTCTTTGTTAAGATACAGGTGAATTAGGGTTCCGTATAGTCGGGAATCGAAGTCTCGACGGTTTAATCAGTCAATGTATTGGATTGATTCTCCATGAAATAAGTCTCCACATCATCAAAGATACTCCATTGGGTCAAGTATGAATCCAATTTGAGGTTACCACCCAAAGATTAAAGACAATGTCGTTCAGGATCCCCGATTAGGGTTTCCGATCAGGAAAAGTCAACTGTAGTTTGACTTTTGATTTAAAAGGTGTTCCAATGATGTAATTATGGTCCATGAAGCTCATATGGCTTATTGAAGTCCACTCAAGAAGTTTCAAGGCCTCAGAAGACCCAGAACATGAACAGTCGACTCGGTAGTCATCGATCGATCGTTCGGTTGACCGAAAAGTCAACTCCTTGACCATAAGGAATTTGACCTCAAAGAATGAATCAAAAATGTTCCTAATGTTATATTACACCTATCCATGAAGTTTTATGACCATTGGTTCAAGGATTGAGGAGTAATCGAGAAATCGGGAAATTAGGATTTTGAAAGGGGCAAGACCATAACTCCCTAACCACACATATAATTGAGTTGGTTCAAAGCTTTTTGGAAAGGTCTTGACAAGTCCTACAAAAGTCTCACAGTGGTCCATGGGCAGAAAATTAGTAGATTGGGAGTTATGACCAAAATCATCACAAGAGGGAGAAAACACTTAGAAAATTTCTAAGTTTCTGGCCTTGCAAATCATGTTTTCAG